ACCTCAGCCTCCCAAAGGCGCGGGATTACAGGCTGAGCCACCGAGCCCGGCTAGATAAAACTTTTAAAAATAAAGTGTGCTGCTAAGTCTCCCTGCTGAAAAACCTTCCCTCGTTTTGTTTTGTTTTGTTTTGTTTTTTTGAGTTGGAGTCTCACCCTGTCGCCCAGACTGGAGCGCAGTGGCCGCTCCCGGCCACCGCAGCCTCGACCCGCTGGGCTCCGGCGATCCTTCTGCCTCAGCCTTCCAAGTAGCTGGAACTACAGGCGCGCGCTACCACGCCCGGCTAGTTTTTGATTTATTGTAGAGAGGAGGTCTCACCAAGTTGCCCAGGCGGTCCGAACCTGCGGGCTCAGGCAATCCACTCACCTCAGCCTCCCAAAGGCGTGGGATTACAGGCTGAGCCACCGCGTTTCCCTCAGTTTCTTATTGTACTAAAGATCTGAACTCTGGACCGAGGTCCACACAGCTCAGAAGGCTCGGTGCCTGTCTCCCTCTCCCAACCTCATCAAGTCCCCTGCTGTCCCCTTTCCACCCTGCTCAGTCACATTGGCTTCTTGATATCCTCCTGCACAAGCCAAGCTCATTCTCACCCCAGGGCCTTTGCACTGGCTGTTCCTGATGCCCGGAGGGCACTTAACCTTGCTCTTGTCATGACCGGCTCCTTTCATGATCTGCATCCCTGCTTCAGTGTCACTCTCAGAGAGGCCACCTGTGACTATGCGATCTAAGCTCAGTTTTGCATCACACACACAGCACTTACCTGACATTCTCTTTCTCTCCTTTTTTTTTTTGAGTCGGCGTCTTATTTGTTGCCCACGCTGGCGTGCAGTGGCACAACTACCGCTCACCGCAGCCTCAATCTCCTGGGTTCAGGCGATCATTCCACTTCGGCTTCCCGAGTAACTGGGACTACAGGCACATGCCACCATGTCCAGCTCATTTTTTGTGTGGGGGGGGATTTTTGTAGAGATAAGGTCCCACTATGTTGCCTAAGTTGGTCTCGAACTCTTGGCCTCTAGCGATCTTCATGCCTTGGCCTCCCCAAGTGCTGGGATTACAGGCATGAGCCACCATGTCTAGCCCTGAAATGATCTGATTTTGCACTGTTTTATTCACCCCTGTATCTATGGTGCCGAGAACAGTGTTTGGCACGAAATAGATGCTCAGTAAATATTCGTGGCAGGACTAGATGAGTCATTTGCCAAAGTCCCAAATGCTTGCAAGTGGTAGAAGTGGAATTTGAACCCAGGCCCACCTAGTTCCGGAAATAGGTGTCCTTCTCCACCCCCACCCACGCTCCATGATTTGTTTTACGGCCTCATGTACAGAGCTGAGCTGGTCCCACCCCTCAGCTGTGACACATCATTGCCACGAGCAGGCCCCTCCCGAGTTACGCTCATTCATTTTCCCTCTTTCACTTCCCATCTGCCCTCCTCTCCCCTCCCTCCCGTCAGACCTCATGTCAGTGTTCTTGAATCCTGCCGGCCCTGTACCACGTGTGGCATTGTCTCCCGTGTGGATGTGTTTGCAATTTACAAACAGGGTGTAGTGTAGCAAACTCAATTCCATTGTTTACATGTTTAAACGTTTCCACTCAACACTAATGTTTTCCACATGCATCTTGTTTGTTGCATGAATGTTACACCGTGTTGAACTTCCAGCACTTAAAACACTTGCTCAGTCGGGCTCGGTGGCTCAGCCTGTAATCCTGCGCCTTTGGGAGGCTGAGGTGAGTGGACTGCCTGAGCCCGCGGGTTCGAGACCCGCCTGGGCAGCGAGACCTCATCTCTACAATAAATCAAAAAAAAGCCGGGCGTGGTAGCGCATGCCTGTAATTCTGGCTACTTGGAAGGTTGAGGTGGAAGGATCGCCGGAGCCCAGCAGGTCAAGGCTGCGGTGGCCGGGAGTGGCCACTGCACTCTAGTCTGGGCGACAGAGTGAGACTCCAACTCAAAAAAAACACAAAAAAACACTTGCCCAGGCTGGAGTGCAGTGGTGGGATCATAGCTTACTGCAGCCTCGAACTCCTTGGCTCAAGCGATCCTCTGGCCTCAGCTTCCCAAGTAGCTGGGACTACAGGTGTGCACCTACCATACTCAGCTGATTAAAAAATATATATGTAGCCGGGCTTGGTGGCTCAGCCTGTAATCCTGTGCCTTTGGGAGGCTGAGGTGAGTGGATTGCCTGAGCCCGCGGGTTCGAGACCCACCTGAGCAACTTGGTGAGACCTCATCT